TCTATCTATCTATCTATCTATCTATCTATCTATCTATCTATCTATCTATCTATCTATCTATCTATCTATCTATCTATCTATCTATCTATCTATCTGCAGTCTCCTCGTGTCTCTGCCAACATGAGGGCTCTTTGTGGAGTTCGGTGAGAAAGTATTCTTGAAATGTTTTATTTGTACTTCATCCTTTGTTAGATTTTCATATTATACATGTTCTAGGAATGATATGCTTTATTCTTAGATCTGTTCCTGAGCTGTGGAAGCAACATGCTGCTGTTGAGGTACTGTCAGCTGATGATGCATGGTCACGTATGAAAATCTGAAGATGAAATTGAGATTTCCTGTGTTTTCTTTAGGACTACATTCAAGAGACAATAGCACATTGGAGGAGCTGCAACATCGATGTACTACTGTGCCCTGTGATTGGACCAGCCTACAACTTGTTTTACTGTAGCAAAATTCCAAGTATGATACACTCAGTACAAGTGACAACATAGTGTTCTGTTTATCACAGTTTGTCCAATTTCAGCCACAAAACACTTGCTGATAAACTCCCTGTTAGAGAATGGATAATTTTTTGTGATTTTGCATTGAATCACAGCACAACTTTGACTCTTTGATTGTAACTGCTTTTTTTAACATTACTTTGGCAAGAGCAGCCTGACAGCCTGGACAAATAAATTTCAATATTAATTATTATATTGAATATTAATAAATATTCTACATAATAATATATTTATATTTTCTGTTATTTCAGCTGCTATTAGTTACACAGTTGTCTACAATCTCCTTAACTTTCCTGCGGGTGTAGTCACTGTTTCCACAGTGACCGCAAAGGATGAGGAGGAACTCAAGCACTACAAGGGCTGTTATCAGGACATGTGGGACAAACTCTTCAAAGAGGTAGGCAACATGTACCAGTGAGATAAGACTGAGTGAGAACATAGTCACTCGTCAGTTTATTTGGAATGCTACACAAAGATGTGATTAAAAACATACAGATTACCAAGTAGGGATGGGAATAGATAAGAATTTAGCGATTCCAATTGCAAATCAGTTCTCTGACCTCATTGGGTTCTCATTGGCTCCACTTTGAGAACCACCATTTCTAAGCAGCGTATCAAAGACATTACACTCATGCAAATTAATTGCATTGTGTGAGGTCAAATGTTTCTGCCTGTTTGAGGTGTATCAAAGTTGGTGTCATTACTCAAAAAAGAGAAAAAGAAAGAGGAAAGTAACACATGCCAGTGAGGGATGACTAATTGAACACATAGTGTAGTTTAAGCTACTGTGACAGCAGGTTTTCCTGCAGAAATAATCTTCTGGGAGACACAGATGTAAAGCTTAAACTATAGATAATTTATTATGGCTAGATGAGAGATATCATGTCTCCAATGTAGCACATGCTTGGAATACCTCACCCAGAAGGTGTCCAGAAGGCATCCTAATCAGATGCCCGAACCACCTCAACCGGCTCCTTTCAATGTAGAGAAGTGACAGATCTACTCTGGCTTCTCTCGGATGGCTGAACACCTCACACTACTTCTAAGGGAGAGTCCAGTAATCCTTTGGAGAAGGCTTGGATCTGCGATCTTGAACTTTCGGTCACAACCCAAAGCTCATGACCATACTCCTCCCTGACTCAAAGTAGGCACTCCGTCCTTTTCTGGCTGAAGACCACAGTCTCAGACTTGGAAGTGCAAATTCTTATACCCACCGCTCCAGTTAGAGCTGGATACCACAACCTGATAAAGCCAACAGGAGCACATCATCTGTCAAAAGCAGAGATGAGATTGAAATGAGTCATGCAGGAGTTGTTTAACTACATCAGTCAAGTGAGGGTACCAACCGTCTCAACCAGTCAGTGAGAACTCTAACATACAGGCAGCAAGACTGTAGCCACTGCCCATAAGTTTCATACATTACATTCCACCTCCTGCATGTGAGGGGCCTACAGGAGGGCTGCAAAGTAACTTAAATGTGAAAGTAAGGTTGAAGTGGACAGTCTTACTCTGTATCTGATTTATATGAATATGATAAATGAATGAATATTAGCAGATTATTTCAATTGTGCTGTTGTAGACATGGCCGTCAGAGTCATGTTCCTATTACACCTCTGTGAAGATTAAAAAAGGTTTGTTACTGCAATTTAGACCTCTTGAAATATAAAAGAAAGAATATAAAGTACTAAATAGTTTTTGTTTTTCAAAATCAGCCATTCTCCATTTTGCCAATT